ATCTTTTTATTTTTTACTTTACATCCTGACTTTGTTTTTCACATTTTCTTTGAATTACTTTCTTCACTGATACTGGATTTTCTTTTCATTTTAAACTTATCATTGATTTAATGTACTTTAAATTAAATTAGTCCGTCCCATGCTTTTTAATGTAATTAAATACTACAATGTCTTGGGAGTAGTTGTATTTCATATACTGCTTCCCTTTATATGAGTAAGGCTATGTTCATGGCATCGAGTAATAGTTTGTGATTTGTGTTTCTTATGTGGGCTAGAATTAATTTCAGCTCTTTTTAATGTTATGTTTATTTTGGGTATGTTTTGCCTTTTCCAAAGATTTGAGTTCGTAATGTTTCTTGGGTAGAAGATATCTTCTTTTGTTTACGAGCCATTAATTGTTTGAAGTCATTTATTTTTTTCCTTTTGGTTTTTCTAACATGCCTCCTCTATAGACTTATATAGGAATTATTGTTGTGTCCACAATCTAGAAAATACCGAAATCTCTCTTATCTTACACATTTTCATATACTTTAAAAAGGTTCCTCTCACCTTTTGTATTCTAATTCTTCTTTGCAACTACTTCTATTATCAAGTGTGAATTCTAAGTACCTTTTGGCTACTACATTTATTTCGTTATCTTCAACTGTAATTTTTGAAGAGGTGACACGTTTTCGGGAAAATAGGGAGAAAAACTGTTTATTGAAGTTTATTGCTAGTTAACTATGACTCAAGGTTTTTAACATTACAAAGACGTCATCTGCGTTGAATATTATTCTACTTTTCGATTTTAATTAGGAGCGGCGATAGTGTTTAGCCTTGTTTTACTTCTTTCTTTACCCTGGAGGAAGGGGATATTCTTCATCATTGATTTCGAAGTATGCAAACTATATGTATTATTGGTTTTAAAGATCTGAATGATGTTGGGGTCTATATACTCTGACAACGGAGCTGCATGGTTAACATTATCAAAAGCTTTGCTAAAATCTATGTGAAGTAGGAGGGTGTCTTTGTACTTGCTTTTCTGCATGATTATTTTTTGGGCTAATTTTGGCTTCAGTATATTTTTTTTGTTTGACATGTACACATATGTATTTTTGGGGAAAGATGAGGTGTGGATGATATGTTTGTGGTTTATTTTGAGAGAACCATAAAAAATTTAAATGAAACAGGATGTGAAGGTTATAACTCAGTTTTTTTGCGAAGTTACATATGTTGGATTTGTTCCATTCCACTGCAGTAGTTCCGTTCTCCCATATTTTATTGAAAGAGGGGAAATAGGTAACAAGGTCGAAGGGGCATTTTTTAAATATTTTGCTCTGATATTATCCAGCCCCGGAGCTTTGTTTTCCTTAGCTTTTTGACTACATTTGTTATTTAATGCAAGAACAAACCAGACGAAAGTGGGGCGATGTTTGTATTTATGTTTGTTGGTAGATTGCTTTCCGTGAGTAGAAGACTATCATATAACAATCAAGCCATAATGCCATTTGTTCCTCCTGGTCAATAATTATTTTTCCATTTCCTAAATCTATAGAGAGCAGTTTCCTAAATCTGCGTCATAGATCCTGTTCTCTTTCATATATTTATCAATATCAAAGACTTTTTCGCTATATAAATCTGTTTAACACTTCATAGAGCTTTGCTTTTCCGAAACCTAAAACAGGATGTGTGGGTTTGCGGCTGGGTAGTCCTTAATTCATCACTGACTACATTATCTATTCACTGGAATTTTCACGCTCGATTAGTTAATTTTTTTATTTTTATGATCATAATTCGAAATTCAATTGATAGTAATCATTAAGGCTTACAATAAAGATGTTAAACTTAAAATCAGCCACCACCCACCTTTAAAGTAATTAAATTTATTTTTACAGTTCTCAGGTATAGGTTTTTGTTATGCCCAATTCATTTTGTTGTTACCTTATAGACGTTTAAACAACAGTTCTCGGACTGTTTTGCGTACAAATACGTGCATCTTGCCCACAAACGTGTGAAGGCTCTTAATTATCTCCCCTTAACTATCCAGTTTGATGGATTTTTGAGGAAAACCTAGCGTAGCTCTGTTGTATACACAACCAGAGGGCGAAAAAGCTTTTATCACGTATCACGTAATTAATAAGATAATTTTTATAAAAATGAATATAAGAAATATTCACCCACTGGTGACAGAACTCTATCTCAACATGAACAAATTATCTCTTGTAGTGCCTTAGGTCCTAATTGGCATATAAGCATAAGCCTATTAATGTTCAAATTGTCTATAAAATAGAAATTTATGCTATTTATATAACCTCCCAAAAACATAAATGCACAAAATTCTCTTATTTTTTTTTATCAAAAATTATTGATATCTCAATAATGGTTTAAGAGATGGAAAATAGAGGTTGGAGTTTATAAAATTTAATATCCTGAAAATTTTTAGAATGTGTTAGAAAATTGAGATAAATATTGTTAAAATTTAACAAAAAATAATATAAGATCCTCAAAATTTTTAGAAAATATGCTAGATTAGTTTTATTAAGTTGGAGATTCCTTTTTTAAAAAAATTATTAACAATTTCTAAATCCTAATTTTTAAGCCATAACCAAATCGTTATAAGGAAATTCTTAAAAGAGAACTGAAACATTATAAATACTTTCAAACCGGTATAAACTGGTTCAAAATATTATATAAAATTATATTTATTATTTTAAATGAATTAACATAATTTTTTTAAAAAAAATATCATTATTATTAAGGGTCAGTTAAAAAATATATGTTATGATTATTTTAAAAAACCTAAAACAAAACACTGGGATGAACCAAATAAAACCGATATGATTTTATAAAACAAACTAATAAAAACTTGTGCAAAAATAATCGAAATGGAATTAAACTATTTTAAAATTTTAAACCAAGAGCCGTAATTGAACAAAAATATTATACTTAGCAGTTCGACACTCTATATTAAACATCTATGTCTATAGGCATGTTTGAATTTAATATGAAAGTAAATGAGGGGTAACATGAAGTTATATTGCAGGATCTATAATATTTAGTTAACAAATTTGAAATAAAAAAATAATTCATCTATTTTAAAATTGCCAATATATCTATTTCATGCATTATATTTATTTCCTTCATTTTTAATAGTTCAAATAAAAATTTTCATAAAAAGTTCTTGTTAAGGGGTATTATTAATATGATTTGTTTCGAATGTATGTACTAGAGGTGTTAGGATACTTTTCAAATTACTCGAGATATAGATTAGGCCTAAAATGGTATCTAAATACATATGCGTCTTAGAAATATATCTAGACAGTGTTATAATATTTTGAAGATATAGTTATTTTAAATTAATCACGTGCACATTGTCAGAATAAAAAAAAATATTGGTACAAAACTCAAATTGGAAGTGAGCCAAACCTTTTTTAATTCAGTTTAATATTTGAATAATATTTAATATATTAAATTTAGCTCTTAATAATAAAACACTCAATTTTCGTCAGTGAAGCATTCCTGATATTATTTAAACAGATTTTTGTCACACTAATTTTAGTATTTTCATTAGTGTACTTATGGTAATAATACTTTATGAAAGGAAAATCTTTAAATAGGGTAAAATCCTAATACTCATTTTTTTTTTAATTTTATAAAGTTTGATGGTGTCAAAAGTTGTGTCATTATTTATATACAGGAAGTTAAAGAAAATCAAATAAATTACAGATTTTCTTGTAATCCGTTATAAAGTAATTTTCGCATTGTTTGTTTTAATTACCTCTGTACTTCAAAAATATGAGAAAAATTTTAATCGCTACTCGATCACATAGTTAACCTAAAATTTAACCAAATTGGCTAGTTACAAACAATCCTCCTAACAAAATCAAAGCTTACGATCATCATCATAGTTTCTTATATTTCCTCTTTACTAACAAATACATATCTTCTTAAATTAACTAAACCTTTTGATGACGCCATGCTAAATTATGCTTGGTCTGATAACACATACAACGGCACAATTTATCCACACATATAAAAAGATTAGGATGCTGCTGTCATGTTATGTTCCGGCGATTATCTATTTTCGAGCAATAAAATCTAAGAGTGTATTAACCTTCAGCTTATCCAACCTTGCACAATGGATATACCCTTTGACAAATAAGAAAATCAGATATGCCAGGCTAAGACTTGATGTGAATTATTCTAGAGCCAGACATCCTCTTCGTTGCCTCGTTAATAGATATAAATATATAGGTCAAGAAAAAATTAATAAAATCAATCCAAAATTCATTATTGTTCCTTCCCACCTAGAACCTCAAAGTTAAAAATAATTTGCGGGATCGACACATTTTAACTCCCTAGGATGTGGAGAAACAGTATTGAGACTTTATGCACAGACATTGGCTCCTCCAATAATAATTATGATCCATTAGTAATCGCTGAAAAAAGAAAATCTCATTTTACACCTAGCCGAAAACAGTATATATAATACCCATCATGGTTTTTAATAAACTGCTGAATCATAAGAGGCGAAATACCTAGTCAAGCCTATCAGTTAAATAAGCCCTAAAACAACCTAAATGGCCTTTTTGATCAAACAAAAAATTACATTGAAATCTTATGTTACAATTTTAAATTATTTAAACATACTTGGCATTGAATTATAGATTAAATTATTAAAAATATGTTGCAACACTAATATATTAAGTGGCGACGAACTCGGAGGTCTAAGTTTAATGCCCAATTTTATCATAGTTTTATTAGAAAATAATCATTTGTCTAATCTACTTAATTTTGCCCAAAACACAAACATGGGATAGGTTTATATTAAAATCAAATAAAAAAAATTTTGATTTAAAAAATTAAGATTTATAAAAGAATTTAATAACGAAATATTTTTCGAATAATTCAAGAAAAAATGATTTTAAATATTAACTGCGCTTATAGTTTTTGATTTTCCCAGCCCTACTATAAGGAATAAAACAATTCAATATTTTTCCATATTAGAATATGAAGATTACTTAAATCTGTCCTTCATAAAAACGTAAAGTTCCACTTTGTTATCTTTAGCCCTGTTGCGTTCTTCCAGTTGAGGTCTTATTCTAGTGGTTTTTTTCAAATTGGTTTCTAATATATCTTTCCACAATAATCCCAAGGGTATAGGTTTATCTGTAAAAAAATGAAAACATAATTCTAAATAAAAATGAAGTTAAAAATAAAATTCGCTAATCGCTAGCAAAAAAATATGTGTATGAGCCTAAATACATTAAAGTAGGCGCGTAGCCAGGAATTTTATACTGCCAACCATATATTTGAAAAAAATATGACAATTTCGAATACAAATAATAAAATATTGGAAAATATAAACTTTTTAATGATGAAAAGGTCCTCTCATCTGTGCTTGTACTAATTGGTATTATTACCAAAATATAGAGTAATTTTAATTAATTTTAAAGTATGCAATTCCACTCTATTTCTTGGAAGTTTATCAATAAAAATAAATCTTCCATACCGTTTAAATTCTAAAATTAATTGGCCTTCTTCAGATACATTTAAATTCTGAAATTAATTGGCCTTCAGATATATTTATATCCTATAATAAAATTTAGCTAAATATTTAATTTTTCAATATCAAGATTTGATAAATTTCAGAGCAGTGTGAGTTATAAGATATAGTGTTTGTAAATTGGATAAAGCCATTTGATAAATCATTAATCGTTCCTTGATTCAAAATTAAACTCAAAAGTGGAATAAAAACGGTAATTTTATAGTAATCCTCAATTAAGTCCACGTTAATATTGCAACGATTTGTTTCAGTGAAAGTCGAAGCTAGTGTTGTTAAACGGCTCGTTTTGAGCCGATTTAATGGCTAACTCAATATTTTAGCCAGAAAAATATTGTCTGAGCCTCGAGATTTCGATAAATATGTCTAGACCTTTGTTCCTTCTATGAACAAAATCTTCAGACTTGAGTAATATTTTTCTGGATAAAATATTGAGTTAGCCGTTTTTAAAAATCGGCTCAAAACGAGCCATTTAACAACACTAGTCGAGGTTTGTAAATCTAAAAATCATATAATTTCACTTTCGCTTTCATCTCAGAACAATCACATAAATCTCGAGAAATTCCTGGTCGATATTATCTCTTAGTTTTCTAAGTTGTAATATAATATTCGCGATTCTCATAACTTCAGCCAAATCCATTTTTTGAAAAATATAACATAAAATTATTGTGTAATAAATAATTTATTAATACATTCCAATGAAAAAAATCGGCAATCATATTAAATCTAATAATGTATCAGCTTCAGATAAAATATCTGCTTCAGGTGATTCTGTTATTTCTCCAAGGGAATAAAAAATAGGCTCTTCTAGATCCAAAAAATGAGCTGTTTGTAATTCTTTATTCGTGTAGTACAAGAAGTCTCAGAAATAATTATATTCAGAAAATTCTGTCTATTTGGATATCTGAACATTTCATACACTATAAATTTTCTAATCATAGTTATTAATAGAGATAAATTAAATGGAATTTTTTTTGGTTGATAAAATTTTCTTATATCAGTGTTTAAGGTTTAAAAAATGTAAGAAAATAAACTTTAAATTTTCGTGATAAAATACTAATATACAAGAAATAAATATTTAAATTAATTTTAACTTTTCTGCTAATATTTAGAATAGAATATAATATATTTAAATAGAATACTTTGCAATTCACAATTCATTTTATCAAAATTTCTTGCTACGGGGTGGGAGAATTCTTCCCCTCTCCCACCCCCAGCTAAATACGAGCCACAATTTTATATTTTTCAAAAATTTTGCTATGGAGTTATGAATATGATCAGATAAAAAAAAAGTACAATAACTCAATATGGTCATCATTAGACATTAATGAAAATATATTATAATTTTTATCATACCTAATTTATATGTCCGTTTGCTTGCAATATAAGAATTTTCTTGAACATCCATCCTAAATAAGTTAATAATATAATAAGATGTTGACAAAAGAAAATATTTAATATTCGTAAATATCTTTTTCATAATACCGGTGTCACTTTCTGTTATTTCAATTAAACAATATGTAAAAGCAAACGTACCTCGTCATTAAGTTTGGCCGAAAAAATTAGACCAGATAAAAACCATTCCTTTTATTTACGAACATGATTTGGATCAAATTTTTATCATTATAGCAGGGTTCGGCCTAGCCTTCCTGTTTCGGTGGTCCGGATAGTGACATTCATTCATTAGATCAGGTGATAAAACTATTTATAAAAATATTTAAACGCAAAGTACATAGAAAACCATTACATAAATTTTGTATATAAAAGTGTGAAAAACTTTTCAAACTCTTCCTTGATAACCGGTCCGTCACCAGGCACCGTATCTACTACATTATTTTTTATGTTGATATTAAGACCGCTAATTAACGAATTCAAATGCCGTTTCAGAAATTGGATTTCTTGGTCCGAGTTAACGGCGCCATTCATTTCAACAGAGCTGGGTGGTGAAGTGTGACAAAATGTATTAATGAGTGTGGCAATTTCATTCCAAACATATTTATAGATTTCTTTTTTGTTTTGGTGCTTGGAGGAAATGGTAGGGGTAGAGCTCGAAGCGGATGATGAAGTGTTAGAGGAAAGTGAAGAGTAAATGCTAGTCATGAGAGCCGGCGGTAACGACAAATTCAGGTTTTGACGTTCGGAATCCTTGAAAGAGTTTAGGATTTGAACGCATTCAAGTTTGAGCTTTTCTCTTTCTTTCTAATTCGGTGGAGATATGGATAATGGGGGGTGGGGTATTTAATCGTATATTTGTGTTTAAGTTATAAAGCAGAAGTAAAAGAAAATTGATCTAAGATTTATCTCGATTAATAAATGAATAAATATTATTAATTAGAATATAATGAATTTCCCTGACAGATAAAACAATATTACCCAATGTTTAAATAGAAATAAATGGTAAATACATATTGATATAAAGGGTTTTGCATTCAAAAAAAAGAGGGCTGATAGAAAACGAAAAAAAGATCCGATCGAAAAAAGATTAATATTTTAATAAATTGATATAAGTTCATAAAAATAATACAGAGAGTTTTTAAATACCTATTTTACCTTAAAATATGGAAATCATTTAATTGATTCAATTAGTAAATCAGACATCATAATTTTTAGTGGGCAAACGCTTCAAATATTATTTTTTGGAAAAGATATTTAGTAATGCTTAAAATAACTATTCTTGCAAAAATAAGTAACTGTAAAAGTAACTAGTTACTTTTTATGCGATAAATATTTATCTATTATTTCTCTATTTATGATGATTCCCCAAATTTTAAAATTACTGGTTTATTAAATATAGTCTCACTTAAATCAAACCACTCCTAAAATACGTTTGTTTAATCTAGAGAAGTTTTTTTTGAAGAAAACTAGCATAAGTTTATTGTTAAAGTTAAATGAATAATTATTAAGCAGAATTTTCCAAGGAAAATAAATACTATATTATATTTTTTTTTGGTACAAATTATAATTTTATTTTCGGACCTTTTTTTGAATGGGAAAGGAAGTCAGGATTGCTTTAAAAGCATAAGTCTTAAATTTTAATTATAATTTATTTTCCTTCTAAAGAAGGAATGAAAAATATAAAAAAAACTCTTACCATACGATTTTAAAATATTTTGTAAAGCAATATTAATATTTTAAAAAAATGAAAATATTATCTACTTGCTCCTTTAATTTGAAGCCGACACTTATATTTTCGATCAGTGGTATCAGCTATATTAAATAAAATTTAAATTTATTTACATAAAAAAAATTTATCTTGTAACTATAAATTTAAAATGTTTTTCTCTTCCTTTCTTTCTTTCGAATGTATATATAACAATATTTTTTAAAAAAAATAAATTTACCAATGGTATGTTTAATAAGACACAATCGCTATACACCAAGGGCCAATATTTAGTCAATCGAGACAAATGAATTTCGGGTAAAGAACAAATCAAGTTGTTCTGATCCTTTAAACCCTTTTGGGTAGAGTATTTAACATTTTCTCTGCGCGTTAATCGACTGATTTTGATGAGTTTTGAAAAATCCTAATATATAAACATGTGCATGATTTAAAAAAATGATTGTTCAGAAAATTCATAATTATAGTATAATGCTAATGTATATTATCATTTTTAAAGCTAAAAAAAATTTGTTTATCCCCTCCCTCCCCACCCCTTCCTCTCTTTCCAGCAACAACTATCAATCACTCTGAAAAACGTTGCAGAATTTTTTTTATACAAAAACTGACAACAATCTAAAAAAATGTATTTTAAGTTTATATTTATAACCCTATTATATTTTTGTAGTGTTTTTTTAGACTGTAAAAAAAATTAACATTCCTAAACATTTATTTTATTAATGTTTGATATCGGAAAAATATCATATTTACAATATATCTACAATTGCAAAATGACCTTGTTTAACTATATATTAGGCCTATTCAAAAAAAAATCCGAATAATCGTTTAAACTAATAGAATAATTTACTATTCGTATTCTTACGAATAATAAATTTTAAAATTTGTATTCAATTGTTTTTTTTAAATATTATAAAATAATTAATACGAAATATTGACAGAATTTTATATTCTTATTGCATATCAGAAAAAAATCATTATAATAATTAGAACATGAGATCAGGTTATTAATGAAATTAAAAGAAATATTCATTTAATTTACAATGCCAGACCATGTTTCAAAGCAAAGATATTTCCTTAATGTATTTTCTTTATAAGACAATAAGATTATGATAGCGAATTACCAACTAAGAAAAGCCTTTCACAAGCAGTTCATGTTAATCCAGTTAATCCCATCACCTATTAGATTGATAGGTTATCAATAGAAATGACAAATGATTAAATTTTATTAACATATTATTAATAATTCGAATATTCGATCATATTATTCCAATAAAATAAAATGGATTGGCAGAACAATTTATCGAATAAATGAATTATTAGTTTTGAATAGGCCTATTACATATTGTAACTTGATAGGGGCAACCTAGTGAATATATCTTTTAAAAAAATTATTTCCCTATATAATTAATCGAGGTGGAGATAGAACACTATATTAACAAGATACGAAAGGTAATTTTTTATAATTATAGCAAAATAGCTATTTATCTTTATTTTTAAATATTATTACGGGAATCCTATAATCAGTGACTTTCCCTCCAGGTCCCTCGGTTATGGAATGCAAATCCTCGAAATACATTTTCTTGTATTCGTTCTTGGCTTTGCACGAACCTCCAAGACACATTATGTATATGGCGCCGTTGACTTGACTGAGCATGTGGGAAAGTATCTTTTCGTAACCATTAGCTACGTCCAGTTTGGCGGTGTTATTATCCGTTACGTTCGAAAGTATACTGGATATGAGTTTAAGGTTCTGATGTTGTTCGAGCAAAACGATTCGATTGGAGAGAACAAAATTCGTTAAGCAGGATGAAGGTCTGCTGTGGGGATCTACGGGTGATATTTTGTAAGCGCCGTGAGAATTTTGCTGGTAATAATCTAATTATACATAACATATTTAATAAACCTTCGGGGTCTAACATAATTTAATCATAATTGTAATTATTGTTTAATTTTTTTTTGTAAAATATTATTTAAAGAGAATAATTTATGAAAAAAAATCTATTGAAACTCTAAAATAAAATTTAAAAAAACTTTATACTCCATTCAGGGACAAGAAACGAAATTTAGAGAAATCTATGGAACGAAGAATCTTTCCAGAACATTACGATAAAATAATATGGAAACATTAATATTAGGGGTGCACGGATACCACTTTTTGGAGGCCGCTCTATTCTAATAATTTTCATTTTTAAGATACAATAAATTTAACAATATAAATAATAAACAATCAAGCATTATAAGCAGTTTTTCATTGAAATATAAATTGGTTGTATTCAATTTTGTGAACAAGATGGTAGGAGGTTGGTGCATGCTTGTGAAGTTGTTTTTCAAAGTAAAATATTATTTTTTGCTTGAACATTTATCATTCATACAGAGATTATATAATGATCCTTTAGTTTACTGCTACTTGAAGAAAAAAATGTACTTTGAGCAAAATTTACATCATAAATTGCAATATTTATTTTTCTCCAGGAATAAAAAGTTGTCGTGTACATGAGAAATAAAAAAAATATGAAATTAAATATTATATTAACTGATAAATTTGTTATTTAAAAATTTTTTTATTAGTTATAAAAATAATTGCTAATTTTTAAAGATAATTTCCATATTGAACATTCTCACCCAACCTTTGCCTAAATATTTTAAAATATTTTTGCATATTTTAAAAAATAAAATTTAAGGTATTCTTATTAACTAGATTTCAAAAATAATTTCTTTGTACCGTTGATGTTTGGTGGTATTGCTTTTTGTATTTTATTCATCTTATTTTATTTTTTTATTTTTTGAATTTATTATTTTTGTTTTTTTCGTGTTTTATATTGGAAAAAAAACAGTTTTTTTTAATTTTGTTTTTTTCGTTTTCTATCCCTAATAAATATACAATCAATCATATTTTGACTCTAAAGATGTTATAAATAAAACTAGCACATTTTTATAATTAAAATATATTAAATATAATTTTGTATTAAAAAAACTCTTTTTAAACCAGTGTTATTATTGATACTATTCTTGGGTGGTGTACACCATTGCAAAAGGACCGTCCTATACCCAATCTCTTCATAATAACCCTTCTTTTCATTCGAATTGCTATCGTTATTCATAAGAATATTAGCATCCGCCACTGTCATACTGACTGATGGCCTCGTTTTTAGAGAGTCAGGTTGGAAATTCAAGATACCAGCTGTTTGTAATCGCGATTTATCTCGGTAAGAAACACAATTCGAAGCCATGTAAGCTCTAGAGCTGTGCAATATCTCAACGTCGTAATTGCAACTGGTGCCAGAAAAATTTTGTTCTTCCTTCATAGGTATACCCGTTATGGTGGTCGAACATAGATTGTAGTGTTTCTAGGAGTCATATATGCAGAATAATAAAGAAACATATTTTGACTTATAAAATTTAACTGATCATAAATATTGAAGCTGGCCAGCTCGTTTACGTTTTAATTAGGTATGGAGTGAACCGACCCAATAAACCGGAACGTACCGATATAATTTCCGGAACTTTAATACCAAATCCTTGAAAGTGGGAAAACAAACCTTTATGTTATTGAAGAGGGTTGGACACCGTTTGTTGTAATACTAATTTAATTTAAGATCATTCATTGAGACACATTATTTTTCTACCTTAAACTATCAAACTATGAACCAGATCTAGTTGGAAGATCCATTAACTTTTTTCTTTCAAAATTTTAAGAAACAGTTAAATTTGAATCCCGGAAAAAAACCCCTGGAAAAAAAACCCCGGAAAATAAACCCCCGGAAAATAAACCCCCGGAAAATAAACCCCCAGAATAAAAATATTGTTTATTGCTACTCTAATCACCATTAATTCAAAATACCAAATGCAAAAAAATTGAGTATTTTCCATTTGCATTTTAATGGTTTCAACTGAATTAAATTGTATATTGGGTGAATGTATATTTGTTTCTATTATAATTAATCACGAATTTATTTCATTATTCATCTTTTAAATATGCATGAATTAAGTTTCAATTTCTTTATATACTGGCTGCTAACAACCAATCAGGTTATATATAGATGTATTTCTAAAAATTGATTATCTGCTTAAATAAATTTGTATTTTAAAAAAAATACATTACGTTTTAAGTATCAATAGTAAATATAAATAACCCATCATATTGGGGGTAAATTTGGATGGTGCATCATATTCATAGGAGACACACCAACTCCAGCAAGATCCATGACAGTAAGAGGAGGTGGGGGTGGAGGAAGCATGAATGGTCTATAAGCAAAAATTTGATGAGGTCATAATATTTTTAACAAATTATTAACTTGCAATTGTATATATACCAATTCAATATAAATTATTGCTAGAATATACTTAAATATGAGAGTGTATAAAAATAATCTCAAGGGGTTTTTTTCCTGGGGGTTTTTTTCCGGGGGTTTTATTTCCTGGGAGTTTTTTTTTCCGGGGGTTTTATTTCCTGGGGGTTTTTTTCCGGGGGTTTTATTTCCTGGGGGTTTTTTTCCGGGGTTTTTTTTTCCAGGGGTTTTTTTTCCTATTACCGTTAAATTTCTATCTGTATAAAAAAGGCACACCTCAAACTTAGCCATCACTTTTTAGAAATAAAATTGAAACAAATTTGTTAAATACGGTTTTCCTTATTTATTTTAAACTAATTTTTTTTATGTTTAGGGTAAATTCATCAAAATTAAAACATGGTTTTTATTTTAGATTCCTTAGTATGGTATTCATTAATTATAAACAGATAAGAGGGTCGGTTTTATCCCCAATTATATAAGACAATACAACAACTCCTCATTTCCATAACGTTCTTTTTTCAATTTGAGTCAATTTTATTTTAATTTATAATTAAGCCTTTTATTTTCCCTATAAAAGGGACTAAAAATTATGTTTATGAGATTATATTTTTAGTTTGTAAAATTTTTATATTTGTAGTTAATTAATTTTTATTTGATAAAATTGAATAAAAAAATTTTATATATCAGTGTGTGTTTTTGTATTGAAATTAATTGTGTTTTAAAACAAATTTTTAATGACTCCACTTAATAATAAACTGACCTGGATGGAACGTCTTCTATACGCTATACTATTCATAAATGAAGCTTGGCAACTTCAAAATTTAAGAGTAAATGATAAGATAATCATTTCCCTAAAGGAAAATTGTTAATTAAACTTGTATTACGATTTTTGGTTCCTCAAGTAATAATATATATGTATGCTCATTTAATTTATTTTTTATTTCAAAAATAATAGGTGTTGGCTTCTCTTCTAGTCATAATCAGAAATTAAAAATTGTGTCAAAGTATATAATAGAGTAAAATTACTCAGCGTCAGTGTTTATTATATTATTTTAAAAGATTATCTAATGACATGATAATACTACCCTTGACTGATAATGATAAATTCATGAACCAACACTTATTGGCATTTTTAAAGTTATGGTTAAGATCCATAATGTTGACTGCTGATTGTTATTTTTTTACCACTCTCAGCTGGGATGTCAAATAGTGTTGTTAGATGGTTCAGTTTTAAAAACAGATAACCCAATATTTTAGCAAAAGAATATTATCCAATCCTGAAGATTTTGATCAGAGATGTTAAAATTTGAACATCTATTAACAAAATCTTGAGGATTATGTAATGTTATTTTGGCCAAAATCTTAATTTACTAACTTAAATTGAGGTATTTAATACTAGTTTTTTGCATATAAAAAATTTTATAACCCAAAGGAATTTTAATTGCATTTTAATTAATAGCAAAAGGATAGAAAAGTATATTAAATGATTTGAGTTAGTAATTTAGAAAAAAATCAATCTTTTATTTATAAAAACTTTTTAAAAAAATATTGTGAATTAATGTGTATATCCAAAATAAAATGCAGAATTTACTTGAACTAAATATAGTATCAAATGAGCTAAATGTTTTCCATATGGAACATCATATATTGTTAAATTAAGATTCTGTTTTAAAGCACAATTAATTCTATATTATATATATATATAGGTAAAAAATACTTTAAAAAAACCTTTTCAGTTGAGTGTGTGATGAAAATGAAGATATATTTATTAATATAACTTCTATTTTGATTGGTAAATTTTTCCTTAAAAAATATAATAGTGACAAATATATTAAATATTTAGATACAGTTTAATATAAAATGCCTCTGTGATGATTTCTTTTATCTGATTTAGCTTCTCTTCTAATATAAAATGGCTAAAGTATATAATTTTATTGTTGTCATAACTCTCCTATAAAAATGAGCTTTATAATAAAAATAGTATCTACTATTTTAGGCATGGCAAATTGATTGAAGGAATGATTAATTAAATTTTTAAAATTTCTATTGTCACAATTATCATTGAAGGTTTTTTGAATTAATTTGATATTAATTTTGGCAAAATTCTTCAATATATCAGATGATGACCCTGATTTATAAGATGCTATTTCATTAATATTCGAAAAATTTCCTATGTCTTCATCAAAGAAAGCCAAAAAACAGGATACCTAAATTAAATAAAGATTGTCACTATATAATGTGTTACTTTTTTTTCTTCAATAAAAATATCACAGACAATTCTATAGTATTCTAAGATAGCTTCAATAATATAAGTCCACAATAATTTTGGTTGACCACTTATGTCAAAATCTGTTTGGCTTTTGTCAGAGTTATTATGAAAATAATTGCAATATTCTAATGCAAATATAACTTTTGAATTCATATTATTTCAACATGTTGCAGAAAATGGCAAATAGCAAATGATCGATATTTATCAAGGTTTTTAAAGTTATATGTCAATCAATAAAACGGTAAAATATAAATATTTACATACGATATTTTTTACAGTAACCCTCTTTATGCCTGTGATTAAGCGTAGATTAATTGTAATTTTTTTGGAATACCTTTCAAACAGCCAAAAAATTTTTTATCAATTATAACCTAATCTACCTTAATCATGTATAATTAGAACTAACCTTCCACATTATTTAAGATTTTGCTGGAGGCCGCATCTTCATGAAAGGAGGGGGTAGTAACTATTTGCTTCCAATATATTTGTAGAAAGGTATGGGTGTTTTCATCGCATTTGGACAAAAACTCATAGTAAATTTATGTTACTTTTTTTGAAATGGTTTTCCATTTACTTTTATTTAATAAAAACAAAAGGAAACTAGTGTACAAAAGTAATATTATAAATATATTGAATACTATGCAATAAAATATAATTTATTTTACAATATATAATGTGTATATTTAATAGTTCCTTTCTAAAATAATCATTTTTATTATTATTCTATAACTGGAGATAGAATAGATACCAAATTTTATTTTTATAATTTTAAGAAATATTATTCTATTATCTGTAATATAAATGTAATTGTAAATTGAATTTAAATTGAATATAATATTAACTTTTCGTTTGTAAATTACATAACCTGAAGGATTGAATTCATTATATATATATACGTGATATTTTGTATTAAATATACTTTTACTTACTTTACTTATTCAAATAACTTTTCTTTAAATCCAAAAAATTTATTGAATAATAATTAACTAAAATTTTATTTTAAGCTGCGTCCAAAATGTTTTAAAAAAATCCTTAAAATTTTCACAAATTAATAACAACATTTTGGACACATTTAAGTTTTAAAAAAATTAAAATATTCAAAATGTTTGATATGATTCAATTATTAGTTATTTATTAAAAGATATGTAAATATTTAATTGTATTTATAATTATATATTACCTTTCAGTTATTAAACTTTATATGAACTTATTATTTGATAATGGTTATATTTAAATTAAATTTATATACTTAATAAATATATATATGTTGTAAATAATTGTATCAATATTTAATAAACAGTTGGAAAACTAATAATAACTTTTATTTTGAAAGATAATTTTTCCATAAAATATATATGAATTATTATATTTGAGTTATATAATAAAATTATAATAGAAATTATATAATATCTTTTAAGAGTAGGATAAGAAATATTTTTATTAATAACTATAGGGTTTTAATTTTCTTTGTTGGCATTATCTTGATCTAGCTATTATTCAATAATAAATAACAAATAATAGTAACATAAGGTAGAGAATCATTAGACATAGGGATTAAGGTATGATGCAATTAATTTTATATACATATATAAAATAATACTGTTCCGAGATGTCAATAATTGCAGAGATTATTAGCAATGTAATATTTTGAAGAATAAAATAAAGAATTAAATAATTTTGTAAAAAATATCCACTTACTAATCCTTCAATTACCATTAAATAATTCAATCTATTATAATATAGTGTTGTATATTTTCTCATAACTTCCTAATTGTAGAATGTATGTTATTCATAACTTATTATAACATTTTTGATGAAATGTATAATTTTGTTTTACTTATATATAATTTGACTATGATTGTAGTTAACCTCCTATTATTTGATAACTTAATATATCTTTTTATTTTTTCTATTGTAATTTAATATCAATTTTTTAAATTTAATTTTATAATTTGTAACTAAATAATAAATCATTCGGAAAGGTGGTGGTTTGTTTAAAATTTAAATTAGGATGAACATATTTTCAGCATGGTAATTTAATGTGTATTCATGAATTTAATGTAATGATATGTAAATCCAGGTATGCGAACCCGACAAAATTTTTGCCCGGGTTCGGTTCGGGTTCGGTTCAGGGAAATATTTTTGAACCAGGGTTTGGTTCGGGTTCGGGTTCAAGAATTTTTGAGTTGATAAAAAAAATTCTATATTTAAATCATAATAAAAAACTAGTCATAAATTTGATATAAAAAATAAATTTTTTATTTTATTTATAGGCAAATATAGTTAAAAATACAAAGCATATAGTCATGTATCAATTTTAAAAATTTTATTTAGACGTATTAGCATAATATCTTCCAAGAGTTGTTCCCTCATCCTCGATCTATGTGGTGAAAGAATGAATTTCAAATGTGAAAAAGATCTTTCAACGCTAACCTATGTTAAATGTATTTATATGTGAAAATATGAAAAATTAACTTAGGTTGCAGGAACAGCAAATAAGATTTTAGATAAAATATATAATTCAGGGTGTTCCAGCTTAGCAGACTCCCAAAAATGCAAAATATTTTCCTTCTTATCTAATCTTTTATAATCGCTAAATCCAGTAATTATTGTTCCAATACTTTTCTCAGCAATCGTTGGCCCTCTTTTAAGTATTTTCTCCTGCCTTTCTTTAAGTTGTATCAATTTCTCTAAATCATCTTCTTGTTCAATAACTTCATCGGAACTAATATCATCAGATAAAATCGGCGTTGTTAAGCTTTTAATTCGTCTCCATAAATTGACAAGATGTTTTTTCGCACAAATCTTATCATCATCACTAAGTAATACCTGTAATATTTAAGGATTTATATTGTTTATATTTAAATATTTCATAAAATAACAATTTTAATATAAATCTAAAATAATTAATTTACTAAGCTTTTAATTAACCTTGTATCTTGGGTCCAGGTATATGGCAGCTAAGAGAATTTCGTTCTTTATAAACCTTTCTTCTCTGTTCTTAAGACAAGAATATAGTAATTGAGCAAAATGGTGTGGATTTTTTTCCAGTTCGATGCAGCATCTTAACCATGCTGCATAAAAATCTGTCAGTGTTAACTGTTCAGATTGGAATTGTTTGGTTGCGATTTTTAGCGGTTTTAAAATTTCAACAATCGTTATTATCTCTTTCCAATCTTCAGTCAATAAATAATCAGATTGCTCTGTAAAAAAATCTTCGATATTGGGTTTTAGTAAAATCAGCCTTTCTTTTTAATATATTCTCTTTTATATATTCTCCTGTACATCTCTCTTTCAGCTCTACAATTCCAAGAGTCCTCAAATTTATAATGGACTTTGATATAAATTGAATATTTACACCAAGAATTGACCTATCTAGTCGTTGAACTGCATCAACTTTTAAACTTATTATTTTCCTTCTACCTCTCTCGATATTTTGTCTCTAATTGATTGGGCTGTTTTATTAATAGTTCTGGATAAATTATCTTTGTTTATAACTAAATTGAGCCCAGATAGGAGTGGATTTATAATTCTTTGAAATCCCAAATCTTCAATAATTGATAAAGGCCGGTAATTTACAGTAACAAGTTCTAGTATAGAACTCATCAAATCATTAGATGATATATTTATACTTATATGCTTTTTTGGAAAAAAGGTTTCTATATTAATTTTAGGTTTTTTTGCCAATAACAATTCCTGATATTTGGTTTTTTCATTTAAATAATTTAAATATTCATTGTTGTGATTTCTTTCCAGGTGTCTTTCTAAATTTGACAAGTGATTACCAGACATTTTTACTTTGCAATATGAACATATTGATTTTTTTTTCTATTGTATTAAGGGTAAAATGCTTATCAAATATGTCTTTATCTTTAATCTTAAATCTATAAAAAGAGAACAATTTTTTTAAATAGCAATGATTTCAGAATTAAAAATGAGATATTTATAAATTTAATTTCATTTATAATATGCACTTCATTAATATCTTGTAAAAATTAAACTGAACCAAAAATAAATGATTAGCATATATAAATTTTAAAATCATTTTAATAAGTTCACAAAAACTGCCCTACATTTAACAATTTTTAAGTTAGATGTTTAGAATTTTTTAAATTAACAATATAATAATTTTTACTTTGATTTGTTAACCATTTTCTTCTAATTAATAATCTTTAAGAATAATAAGATAAAAATTTAAAAATAAATGGCGTAAATTAATTCAATTGTTTAAAATTTTTTAACACTCCAATAGGAATCGAGAATAAATTTAAAATTGGCATAAATGAATTAAGTTGTTTAAAATTTATTAAGACTTCATTTAATTGGAAATTTGAAAATATAATATTTGTATTTACATATATTAATATATGATTTTAAATAATACACTGAACCCGATTGAACCCGGGTTCAAATGAAATTCTTGGGTTCGGTTCGGGGTTTTGAAAATTTTATAAATGGGGTTCAGGTTCGGTTCGGGTTCAGAGTTTTCTAAAAACCCGGATTCACTTCTCCGGGTTCGGGTTCGGTTCGAATCCCTGTGTAAATCAGATATTTCCCCTTCATTTGATGATAATTTTGAAAAATTTTCCCAATTAATATATACATATATTAGACAGATTTAATTCTTATAAACCCCTTACTATTTTTCATGATCCAAGGAAAAAATTAATTATTCTGACTTTTCCTGGGCTTGGGAAATATTTTTCACAATTAATTAGGACTTGGACATAGCTTGCTAAACATTTTTCAAAAAATTTTTAATTTTAAATATGGGCTAGAAATTGGCCTGAAAATTTCTTTTAAAGACATGGCCAGGCCTGATCAAAAACCAAGGCCCATGCAACTTTCATAATCTAATTGTATTTTTAAATGCATTGTGACTTTTTATATATTTTATTTCAGTTCTCAACTACCAAAATTATTATGGTCTTTGGCAGGTTTGAGAAAATTTTCCCAAGTGCGTGGACCTGGCTTGGGAATTTTTTTAATATTAGGCATAGGTGTAATATTTAACACAGAATATTTATATGGCCCTCAGGTAAAAGCTAATTTAAATATTATTTTTATTCAAAAAAATAGTATTCACTCTTAGTCTAAATGGGTTGGCCTTGGTCTGAAGTAGGGGTGAGCTGGGTTAAGATAGAATAAAAAATAGATATGGTTTTAGAGATTTACCTATCTCCAGGTTTGGGAAAAAATTTTGAAAATTACTATGGGTTGGCCAGGCTTGAGAAAAATTTTTATAAAATTATTATGAGTTGGACTGGGCTTGGAAAATATTTTTATAAATTATATTGGGCTAGGCTTGGGGAAAATTATAAGTTTGGACGTTTGATAATTTTTTTATTATTAACTATGGGTCAGACATTGGCCTTAAACATGTTATTTAGCAGGGCTGGGCTCGGCCTGATCAAAAAACCAAGGCCCATGAAAATCTGATTTTTATTGTATTTTTTAATTCATTATGATTATTTAAATGTTTTATTTTACTTCTCAACTACCAAAATTATTATGATCTTTCATTGGGCTTAGATTAATTTTTAAAAATTATTATGGCTTTGTA